TTTTGACTGATGTGTCCCAGTTGAGATAGTGCAAAACCCAGGGGGAGCTGTGGGAAGGAAGAAGTAGAAATGTTTGTGTTATGTGGAGCTGTTTGGTTTGGCCCTCAGAAGAACAGAGCGTGAGTTAGAAGCAAGTGCTCTGAACACAGGTTGTCAAAAGGTGTGAGATAGCCAGTACAGCTCTTCTCTCTTCTCTCTTCTCCTCTCCTCTCTCTTCTCTCTCTCTTCTCTCTTCTCTTCTCTTCTCTTCTCTCTCTTCCTCTTCTCTCCTCCTCTTCTTGTGTTTCAGAACAGCCTGGAAGTTGGGGATGCCCCTCTCCTTACAGGTATCAACCACAGGCTTCAGCCCCCTTGCCTAGGGATGAAACTCAAATCTCTTCCTTTCAGCCTAAATGTCTGAAACTGGCTTTAGGCCACTGTTTAGAAACTGTTCAGTCCCTGGGAAAGAGCCAGGATTGCACAGCTCTTTGGCAGATGTTGGTGCCCATCTGTCCTCCAGGGAAAATGCTGGACTACAAACTGAAAGTGGCTGCAGCTGCTCGACAAGCTCAGCCCTGGCCCTGGCAGCTTTCAGACACACACAACTGCACCAGGTATTTTCCAGCTGAGGGAAAAGAGCCTTTTCAAGCCGGGCCCTTGACAGGATTGCCCCCCATGTGCACCATGTGTCTGCTAGGGGCACCTCACTCTGCCATTGCGGACAGTGCGGCACGGGGCAGGTTTGGTAAAAGGGGCCTCTGTTTTAACTAATGATGTTTTGGCTGAATCTGAAAGGCTTGGACCTGAAGTTACCCCTCAAGAGTCATCCCTCTCCCCTCTCCTCACAGCAGTAAGCAGTCTCTGCCCACATGCCCAGCATCTGCTGGCTGAAGCTGGACGTCCCCAGTGGTGGCCTGTGACTTCTCTATGCCACTCCCTCACACTTTTCTAGCATGAAGCTTTGTGTTCATCACACTGCTACTATTAAAGATTCATTACATTAACTTGATGGTAATATTTGAAGATCTTGCTGCATAAAATCTCTTCTTGGGTCAATTCCACTGTTAGTAATTACGGGTGAGGATCTGTCTTCATGCACACACTCTGAAGCGTATTTTTAGGCCCTCCTGTTTCCTCCCCCTGGTTCAGATTGCCATCTCCATCTCTCCCACTCATGACACAATCAATAACTCTAAACTCAGATCTCTTTCTGTCTGCTGGCAGGAGAAGATGAGTAACAGTGACAGAGGAGATGAGAAAGCCTCCCTTGCCATGCACTGGCGTGCACAGCCTGTGCTGTGCCAAGGTACAAAAAAAAGTCAGCATTTCTGATTTGAGTTGCAAGTCTCCTGGCGAGACGCTTCTGCAAGCTCATGGAACCCAGGAAACAATTATTCCCGAGCCTTTACATGCACTGTGTGCTGGGTCTTCCAGCAATGCACAAGTAAATTAATGTTTTGCTCTTTGTTTCTTGGCTGTGGTTGATGTAACCTGTGGCCAAGATCATATATTTTACAGCATGTTCCTATCCAGTGGCACCAGCCTTGAGGTTTTCAGGTTTTTTCTAGGGGGTGTAGATAAACTCTCTCTACTAGTGGTGGCAGCTGAGCCCTTGCAGACATAATTAGGGGTGAGCTGGGTGCTCTCAAAAATACCTTTCCCCTTGGCTGGTTGATGTAGAGCAGGTTGTCCTCATCAACCTTGTGGAGGGGAAGGGGGCAGTGACTGACTTCAGAGCTAAAAGTTAGGCATCTGATTAATATTTAAAATACTTAAATCACAAGGATCTGTTTGCTGTGTGAAGCTGGGCAGCTTCTACGGAGTCAACTTCTGAGTTTAAACACACTGCACTATGACCAGCGATTCTCCACAATACAGTAGGATTTATTAATAGAAAATACGTCAATATGAGTTTGTCTTTGTACATGTTAGCAACATGTACAGTGAAACACTTTTTTTTTTTCTCAATCTATATTGTTATAGTTCTTTTGTGTTATCTGACATAACCACTTATATTTTGGGCTTAAATATGTTATTTGTCAAAATGTACTTTCAGTGTTAATATACCTTTAAAATCATAGTTTATCTTTCAAATATTGAATTCATATTATTTTTTCAAATCAATATTGCTCATGTTAGTGCAAATTTGTTAAATCTTGAGATAGGTTAACCATTCCTTCCAGACCATAAACAGCATTTAATAAAACAGTGAGATTTATATAGCTCTACACAGCTGAACAAGATTCTAATACGAAGCTTGTTTAAAAAAAAAAATCCGACATTTTACAGTACATCAATTGCATTTTATACATTTTTTTTGAACAGTTTTGTTTCTTCTCTATTTCTGTGTGTGATCTAGTACAAGAATGAAGGGAACAGCAATAGGTAATGATACTTTCCTCAGTATTAAAAAGAATGCATCATATATATCTTGCTCAGTATGGCGGCAGTGTTGTAATTCCACACCTGGAAAAGGAGCCAGGTAATTCAACACCTTCTCAAAACCCAGTACAGCAAGAGTGAACGTTACCAGTCGGAGCACTTGCCACTACAGAAAAATGGAAACAAACCAACACAAAGTATAGACAAAAGGTATTTTATGCCACGTCATCAATCCAGAATCTCTCACTTGAGCAATGGTCAACATTTGACTCCAAGTAATTCCTAAGAGGAGCTGAAAGAGGGCAATGTGGGCATTTCAGTAGTTTGAAGAATGGAAATATATCCAACTTACAATAATCTCCTGTCCTAAGAACTTCAAACAGAACGATGCATCCCCTCAGCCTGTTGGCAACCCTGTGCCTGGAGAGCTGCACCAGCCTGCTGTTTGTCAGGCAGTCAAGAAGAACTTCCAGTTGCGAGTGACATTCTTTATTAAAAAAAAGTTTTTATACTGAAAATGTGCTTTGTTCAAAAGAGCACTGCAAATGTCACTTATTAAAATCAATGTAATAAATAAAATATAAACAACCTGTGTCCAAAACTATGAATAGTATTTTTATCTACCTCACTATACATCTGGCCCACTGTGCCCCTCCCACCCACCCTTTCTGAAATTTTTTAAAAATTTTTTTGCATGCTATTTTTTTCCCCTTGTTTACTACAAAGAGCAAAGGTTACATATCGTACACTGGGAAAAGCTGCCCAAAAGATTAAACTATAGTTCTAGATTACCAATAAACCAATTCTACGTCACAATACCCGCCTGCATGAACTACTTGGGCTGCATCCTATAGAGCAGGTGATGACTTGTGAGAGACTTCTCCCCTGCGCACAGCCAGAAGTGTGCCAGGTGATGTTAAAACTATTACAGTGACTAACCACAGAAATGTTTGCAACCTAAAACAAATTCCTTATTGGCAAGTTAAGCAATTTACAACTACTCCATTAGTGGTGGGTCTTATGCTCTGAAAACTGTATGCTGAACTGTTTGTTGCCTGAATTAACAGAAATGAAGAAATGCTTCTTTTTTTTTCCTTCCAGCATTACAAGAAGCTAAGATGAATATGCCAGCTCTTCTGGCCCCCTAGCCTGTGTAGCTGTTGCTTACTTTTAAAATTTTTTTAAAAAAATTCTCTGTCCCTTACATTTTTTAGAATTTCACTTTAAATGCACAGAAATGGTCTTTATTATCATATTTGAGGAATGTATTCTGGGTGTTGGGTTTTATTTTTGGTATGGGTTAAAATAAATGATTGTCCTAATGGTTCAAGAATTGGACCCTTCTGTAGTCTAAAGAGTTTGGAGAGTCCAGATTAAAGTCTGATGGGTCTTAGTTTTTCATTCCCTCAGGGAGATGGCAAGATCAAACTCTGCCTTCCTTGAGCACTTACTGGTTGGTGGCTGGAGAGTAATGAAATTTCCTCAAGAGGAGATCAAAAGATGTTATTTTAAAGGAAATGGCACCTAAGGGTGATGGAGTTGGTGATAAAAAATCAGCTACCCCTTCTTTTGTGAGCATGTGGCCTAGCAATGTTGAATTGCTATTGATGGTTACGGAAGTGAGTAAGAGAAAGCACATACTGGAGTTTCCACTGTTCAAAAGAACTGAAAATCAAACAAAAATTGAAGCTTAACAAGGAGAACATTGGATGAAAAGAAGTCTTACACCACACAAACACACACACTCAAACACACGCACACGGAATACTATGCATACGTGGACACACACAAGTAAGAATGTGTATTTGTATGGTAGGTTCTTGGAAATAGACATTCTTAGCAAATATGGATGACAGATCAGTTGTAATTTATTTTCTTTTAACACTGTATCATCATAAAGAAAACTGGTATAAATGAAAAAAATCTATTTCAAATATCTACATCTAAAATTTTAGGCAGTGAAAAAGCACTTTGTTGACAAGGAGTGTGGAATGATGAATGTTAATTGTCAGAAACTGCTGAATGCCTTTTTTTTGAGTTGCCACAAACAAAGTCACATATCAGAACAAACAATACTGCTAAATATTCCTTTTTGTTTTTTTGATTTTTTTTTTGATTTTTTTTTTTTTTTGTTAAAACGCACCGGGGAAAAGAAAACAAAAAACTGGAAATTCATACATCTTTCAAAATTTGAAATTGAAGCAATATTTAGAACCATAGATGAAGAAACACTGTGGCATTGGTGTAATATACACAATGCACCTTTTTTTTTTTATCTGTAATGTACATCAAATACTTTACAACAATGCATTAACAAAAGGCAAGAAACATCTTGCTGTACAGAGGAAACCCCAAATGCAACTTGAAGCCTAGATTCACAATGAATGAGGATATTAAACAAGGTGTGAGAAGCTGTTCCCCATAAAGTATGTACGCTGCTCAGTAACTTGTGCTTAACTCTTGACCCAGATCCACTGTCATGTTCTTCCTCCTTCCTTCAGCCACGTTCAATATACAGCACTGAACTTTAGACTCTACAGGCCAACAGTAAAGTTGCCCCACACTGTAAAATATATATAAGTATATATATATTTCTTTCTAATTACTCCCAAGTTTAGCTTTCATATCTTTTAGCCTTCTAAAAAAATCTCTTAATTTTTTCCATACTGGTTATCTGTGCCTTCCTATGGAACAGGCTTTAACAAACTAAATTTGCAGGAAAAAAATGTCTCGTGGTATGCATGCACATGCACAGTTCCTGGAGCTTTTGTATCTGCCCAAGTCTCAAACCCAGGAGTCGGGAGAGGCTGGATAGTGGCTTGTTTCATAGTTAAGTTCACTATAGGGACGAGCAGCTGAGTAGAAGTCGACGTAGTTGCCGGTTGACTTTAGTCCCAGGTGCATGTTGTATTCGCTTGCAGGTGGACGATGATGCACTTGGTCCTCAAAGAAGGACTCGTCATAGTTTCTTGTTGAATTCTGAAATGACTGATATGGTTCATAATCTTTTCTGCTGGGCTCCTGTGGAACTGGCTGTGTTGAAACCTGAAAGACACCAATACCCACAGCTTGTTAGATACAACTAGTTGCAGGCAACAGGATGGAAGGAGTAAATCTCATGTTTCTCATGCTAAAAATACAAAATTGTGCATTATCTTAACTTCTGCTCAAAGCACTGCTTTAACAGTGAATTAATTCCACAGCTCTGCCTTGTCATTTTATTTCTTTACATTTATTTAATAGCATTGTTATTATCAAATATATTTATTATTTGATATTATTGCTGCAAAAGATACTGGTTTATGTCAAAAGTAGTTCATGCAGCATAGCTTATACTTCATTTTGCAACTACATTCTGCGTGTAACTTGGAGCTGTAGAATGCAAATATTGATGGCCAAAACTCAGCCTTGAAGAATTTGAATGTAATCAATTTACACTCCAAAGATGCTAAACATTTTGCAGCTGCCTTTGACTGAAGTGAGATTTAGGGGAAGAGGTGACATCATGTCCTTAAAAACCATTTACAGTGTTCAGGGCTCTGACATGAGCAAAGTGCCCTGAAATGGGTTCCTCCACTACTGTTAAGCAGAAGCATCTTCTTAACACCTCCTCAACACTTCCTATTGACAACGTTGTGTTGTTGGTACATTCCAGCTAGCTACCTTGAAGCTGGAATGTTTATGATAAGCAGAAAAATAAATCTCAGATGATCCTCTAACCTAAGGTTGCCATACTTTTTTTTCAGACATCCCTAGTGAATCTCTGATTTTGTAGTTGGGACTTTATTGAAATCTGACATGTATAAACACATGCTGACTATCCTAGAAGACTATCTTCTGCTTCAGGCCACCTCTGTAAGTTTGGGCAGACTTTGTGACTGCAAAATGATGTAGCCTGTCATTCCTCAGATGGTTATCACTGGGAATACTGATGCTCAGACACCAATGTGAGGACGCTTTGTGGATCCTGCTGCTCTGCACATGTTAGTAATGTTCCCTCGATATGGCAGGAACAGTTTGCTGAGGCCCAAATTCCACGATATTTGTTCAAAACAAATATCTGTATTGGACTCTATGCAGGGATTGAGAAAGGCTGACTAAGTTCACTACTTTTAGCAGCTCCACAAATGATCTTAGAAGTTTTGGCCTGATATTACAACTGCACGAAGGAGTGTAACTACTCTAGTTTCTAGCTTCTGTTTCTAGAACTGTTATCAAGGTGCAACTGACCTTCAGGACCTCATTTAATTTCCATATTCGAACACAGGTGTTTGATTTGGACATAGGAGTAAAATTTTACATGGAGCAATCTGTTTATTTGTGATGTTTTTAAGTTTCTGGTATTTTTTTTCCATTTCCATATACAATGAAAATATACTAATGCACCAGTCTTTTGCCATCTGGAACAGTAACATTTTAGTCTCTGTACTTACCTGGTTATGTTTGATATCTTCAGCAGGCGCACCATACGAATTCCTGTACAAAGTTGAGATTCCAGTGTTCTGAGCTGCAGAGAGAGACAAAGCAAATTTACCAAACATACCTCTTTAGCCTCAAAGTGAATTCTTCACTAAATACATCATACCAAGCCTGTTTCCCACACACCAAAGCCTTTAAAAGCATCTTGCAGGCTTCTCCTCCCACTGAATGGTCAGCATCTTTGCTTTGGTGTAAATACATCTCTTTGGTATTAATTTATTAACGGTAACAGGCTCCACATCATGTTCATAACAATCTTGTGCACTTCTTATATGCATCAACAAAATAATTTCATATGAAGCTAGCATTCAATAATAAATTTCAGGTTCTAGATGGGCTTATGTAACACATGCAACTAACAGCAGCTGTAAATATTGAGATTAAGAAACATTTAAGTTATTTCCCTCCAGTTGGACAATGTGGATTATTAATCCTACAGTCATTTTACTTTCTCATGAAATTATTCAAGCATAAAGTGATTAAATATAAGTGACAAATTATGCAAAAAGTAATATGTAGTTATACTGGAGAGGTCTGGCCAAGATAGTCTCAAATACATGACTGCCACAGTCACTGCTGTCACTTTCTTCTCAGATGTCCTACTACTCAAATGCACAGACAAAACTGAGCTATGAGTTTGAAACTGGAAGTATTTCTAAAGAAAAGGAGGATAATATACAGTCTTGCAAAAATTTATTTCTAACCCGATCCCAAAAAACCCCAAATGAAAAGCAAAGGATTTTCCTTGCAAACCAATCCCTCTGATTTGGCAATGCAGCTGAAGCTTAGTTTGCTGGTAGGACTTGAAAGACTCTGGTTACTTCTCATATTTGAAAGACTATGAATGTATCATTTTGTGTGGCTGCTGCACACTTTTCATGCATTATTAACTTTCCAGACATTCTAACCAATGACTGAATGCTGTTATGAGGACTCTTACTATAAAAGAACAGGCTCTGAAAGTAAAAATTGAGTACCTGTGAATCAAAGTCATGAGTGGAACTGAAACATGTGGCTCGTGACTACTCTCAGGTCTCTGTGCAATGGCATAAAACCTGGAGGCACCAAGAGTGGCCTTTAATACTTTCACAGCTCCAAACTTGTGATGGCAAGTGCTGAGCATCAGAGCTGAAAGCTGGACACGAGATCCATGCTAGTCACATCACTAGGAAGAACGACATTACCAAAGACGTAAGCACTCTTTCTTCCTTTGGTAATGTGCAAGCATGGACATCTGCACATAAAACTTCCTCTACCTTTCCTCCCACCACTTTCTGGAGAAAGGAATGGCATGACCTTCAGCAAAAGCTGACTGAAATACATCAGTTCTGATCTTCACATCTGCCATGGGTTCCACTCTGAGGGTATAATTTTTGTCAGCTTGATGCACTGCTCCATGTTGCTGCTCTACAGATCATTTACAGATGATTTTTCTTAAAGATCTGCACTATGTTTGTGAAAACAGGATAAAGACAGGACTTATATGGTAGCTTGATGAGCTCTAACAGCTGGAAAAGAGACTTTTCACTTCATAACCATTAACTGATAGGGGTGAAACCCCTCTTGTTCCTTGAAGAGCTGGATGCATTAACTAAGAAAGTGCAGAGTCCTGTGTAGGAACTGGAGAAGAGTCCTGGAGGTCTCCAAGTGCAGCATGACCCTTTTTTTTTAAGGCGGCAAGAATATGAACTCTAGTGACAGATGCTGGTTGGGCTCCTTCAGTGATAGATACTCTTAATTCTACCTGTATACCAATAGGCTGATATACAAATACCTGATAGAAACAGGTGAAGTGATGGAAAGTAGTGCTTGAGTAGTTTTCTTTGGTAGTCAACATTAGCACCAAAGAGTTGATCTGCAGAGGTTGTCACTGTTCAGGTTACATTTTGTCACTTAAGGAATTTTGAGACTTGACTGTTATTTCAGTGGGTTTCTTCATGTTCCAGCTGCAGCCTCTGCTGTGATTGAAAATACCCCTCCTGATGATCTTTAGTATTAGAGAAGTTTGCATCAACATTGCTCTTTATGGTGCATCTCATGACAACATGACTCTCAGTAGTACAGCTGCCAGATCTTTCCTTGATATAATCTTTTAAATGCTGTTTTTTTGATTTTCTTGCTTGTCCCACAAAATGCCAGAAGTTGTTTTGTTATACACATTCCTCTTCTCAAGATCTAAAGATTCAAGTGTTTCAGATATCCATTTTGTGAAGTCCTAGTTCTTCAAAAAGCATTTAAGTGACATTCAATGTCTCGGACTGTCATAGATGGAGGAAGAACTTCTTGTAACCATTTTGCTTTTACGAACATATGTGCCAAGATAAGTGGTTTGGAAGTTTCTTGCATGTGAGTTTCTAGTCAGACATGACTGGATATACTGAATGCAGACACATCAATGCTGTTCAGGGTTGTTCAATGTCAAGAGCAAAAGACTGGTACAAGGTGCAACTGTAATCTGAGGGTATTTTGAAGAATCTGATGAAAAATAACAAACTGAACAGATGCTAATTTGTATGCTGTTCCTTCAGGCAATCAGACATGAGGAGGGAGGTCATGACCTTTCCATAATGAGATATAAAAAGACATGTGGTACATAGGTGCTGCTATTAGCCATGACTATTATAAACCTAGAAATAGTTCTGAGTTGGTGTGTAGCTGTCCAGTGCACTACTGTGGCATTTGCACTGATGTGCTCACAAACGTCACATACCAGACTGAAATTTTACGGTCTCTTGGATCACATATTCTGCAATGGAAAATGGATCATTTCAGCTTATGAAAATAGTTGCAAGCTCTGTGTTGCTGATTTCACTGCAGTGATGGGGATGCAAATTCAAAAGTTTAAAATAAAAAAAAAAGACCTCAAACCCTTAGTAATCTTTTTATAAAGCAATAAAAACAATGAGACATAAAATGCTTGAAAATAAATGCCAGAAGTTCAAGAATAAGATCAAGTTCAAGAAATCTTGGCTCAGGCTAGCTTGGAGGTTGAGGTAATTCTGATTCTGGAGGAAATGTAAGTGAAGCAATGTAGCTGCTAGCAGTGAATGCAGCCCTGCTCCAGTACCTGCTTCTGAACATGCAGGTGGATTCCCTGGGAACTCCATTCCCACTCTGCCATGTTAAAATGAGCAGTTGACTCTTGCTATCCAAAAGCAGAGGACAAATATACAAGAAAGGAGAGAATGAGCTAGATGAATAGACAGATACTGTGTGGTTAGTATCTAATTTTTCCTGATAATACTGTATATTTGCCATCATAATAAAATTGTAAAACAAATAGAGAAGTCAATGAAGTATTTTTAAAAAATAAAAATGGCAAGAGAAGGGAAAGGAGTGAATGGAGTAAGAAACAGAGATATTTGTACAGCCACATTTCTGCACAGAGATGTGAGAACTAGGTGAAAATTAAATTAATAGAGGAGTGATCAGCATGTGTGTTTATGTGCATATTTTATGCAGTCTCTAAACATCAGTACATGATAACATTGAAAAGGCACATTCTGTTAGGCAAAATTGTGAACATTCTAGAATGAATACTATGATCAACCTGCAGTACTTTGTGGTTCGATTGCATACAGGACATTACAGAAAAACACATTTCTTTCTCCCCTCTGTTCAGTCTTCTAGGTGATACTGGTTAAAAAAAAAAAAAGTCACATAGTTCCCTATAGCAGTTTTCTTTAAAGATGACAAAAACTGAAAATTATGTTACTCAGTGGTTTACATGACAAAGATGTCATTGACCAAATTCATGCCCATTTATCCCAGTCACTTGATTAATGGTTTAACATTTGGCTTTCAGATCTTGGAAGTGCTTATTCTGAACACATTTACAGACACTTTGGAATAACAAGATGCTAGCCTTTTGCCCTCAGGAACACAAACAGATAGTAAGAAAGGACAGCTCAGCTGGACAGGTAGTCATCCTCATCTGGTATCACACAACCTGCTTTTTCTGCTATTAGCAGCAGGTCTCCATTTAAAAAAAAAATTAGTTCAACACAGTAAAGGAAAATGCTTCTGTACCTCACAAATCTTAGGTAACACAGATCATTACCTGTCACTACAACTGCCACCTTCCTGCACAGTGAAAAATGAGGTAAGGTCATGAGAAAAGGTTACAGTGCATTCTTGTTTCTGAAAGTAGTAATAATAATAATGACAATCCTGACCACCTGTAAAACCTGATGGTGTTTTTTTTTGTGTTCCAAATATGCATGGACTTGCCAGTAAGTTTAAATTACAAAAGTACTCATGATTGATTCTTTACAAACAAAGGAAAAATAAATTAATCTGAAGTTTTTTCTGCTGCTGGAAGAGAAGACATAGAGTGTAGACTATGATGTACATATTAGTTCAGTGAGGGAACTAAAAAAGTAAACCTCAAAGAAGGAGTCCCATGATGGTACACAGGAACCTTATCTTCCCTGTTCTGAAGGAAAACACCATGCGTAAATAACATTATCACGTGCACTTACAGTTCCCTTTTTCCTAAATGGAATATAACAGTTTTTGTCTCAAAAATATACTTTAGGTGACAAAATTTTATAATTGGTTATTATTTTCTACAGCGAGGAGAAAATGGACAGTACATATAAAAGGCATCATAAACCTGTGAAGAGGGCAATGAAAACTTTGATACTGTGCCTCTTTTCTTTTTTTTTTTATCTATCCTCATGAAATCAATGTAAGTTATCGTCTTCAGCCAAACTGTTTACTTCATAGATTCTCCATTTCCCCCAGAGGTTTCCTGACAAATCCTCAGGATGGCAAGAAGCCAACATTCCTACTTCGAAAATCCATCAAAAAACCTTCATTTCAGTCCCAGCCCAAAGGTCATAACATTTCTCAACTATAAACTGAGAAGAGCTTTGGAGAAGAGCATGGAGACAGTCATGGATAAATTGGAACTACAGCTGCGGCTGTACGCTCTGTGTAAAATCTGTTAAGTCAAAGAAAGCTTTGTGCAATACATCAGCTTGGCACAAAAGTAGAAGAGCAGATCAAAATATGTGTGTGTCAGGTGGAACCTGAGAAAACATCCATCTAAGTCCCATCCACGTGGATGTATCGGCTGCAATGTACTGTCTGATGCACAAAATGAAACACAGGCATCGCAAGAAACTTGCTGCATGAACTTGTATTAGGCCACTCATGCAAAGTCAAAATGTCTCACAAAATCACAAATACTGACTTTATATGTTTTTTTAAATCAAATATTTATTATTTAATGAGCTACAATTATGTTGCACAAATTCCATGTGGAATGTTGACGAGCAAAACTCCTTCCGTAATTTTCTTTTTTCTTATAATGGTGCTTCATTTGAGCTTCGACCAAACATGCAGAGATTTGGTGATCTGAAAGAGAGAAAGTTACTTGTTAATTCCATATTTATTTGTACATTGGTCATGTAAGATTGTGAAATATTACATTTTTTGATTTGCATTAGTTTGATTTTTTTCCCCTCACTGAGCTCAGGAGCTGGACAGTTGATAGCTGAGCATGATGCTAAGAGTTTCAAGTTTACTTACTAAAAGCCCACCCAAATAATCAGCAGAAACAGACAACATACAAGACAATATTAGAGGAAAACACAATGGAAAAATCAAAGTGGAGTAAAGGTTGCTGAGGCAGTACAAACCTCACAATCTGAAAATTACACTGTGAGAGAAAGTAAATAAGGGAAATAGGAATTGGAGAAGAAAGGCACCACACTAAAAAAGAAAGTGAAAAGGGGTGTGAAAAAAGAAAAGTCCATTTTTTTTAATGTGTGGAGAGAGGCAAGACTATATGCAAAGAAACCCAAATTTTCAGCATGGAGACACTGTATTTTGGTGAATTTTCAGATATAATTTGCTAATCTGATTTTCCAGATACAGCTGGAACAAAATACCACTGTTTCTGCCTTTTCGTTTTCAGCCTGATGCTCTTATTCCTGAGATTCACCTTTTATGGGTCCTTGACAAATGGATGAAAAAAAACATCAGTGCTGTCCTTTACCATCAGCCAAGTAAGGGCCACTGAACTGTTACAGAAAACTACCTCGTGCCGTGACTATGAAACACTCAAAACATTACAGACACATAAAATGCAGTACCTTGACTGAATCTTCTGCACTTTCCCGTAGTACCCCACAGAAGTCATTCAGGACACTGATTTTCTGTGGTTTCCAAACGCTCTTGACTGTTATTCCTCTCTTCAGATTTTCACCTTCAGGCTAATTAACATTCCATATTGCATTTTCACACAAGTTCCAAGGCTGCTCTTTAGGTTTTGATTACATAATCACATTTAACATAGTAGATACAGTGTGAGTATCTTCATATCCTGAATATAGCCTTGAAAGATGGATCTTATAGATGGATTGATGCTGAATCACCATGTTCCTAGTGAGCAACCCATTCTGCCTCTGAGCAAGACCTCTACAGAGGGCATGGGAGAAGGTAACAGGCATTCAGACTTCTCACTGGGATTTTTTGCCTGCTCTGAGGTAGCATTTGGAGAAGAGAAGACCGTGATGCTTGGTACTGTATAAATGTGACAGAAAGTTCAAGAATGGTTATATCAGCCTGTACAATGGTGATGGAGACCAATATGTATCTTGCAAGAGAATTCATGAAGAGGTACAGCACTGGGAAAAGCACTCAAAATTTCCTAATTACTGAAATGCTAAGAGATTAATGAACTCACTGGGGAAGAGAGGCCTTCAGAGAAATCTGCAACAGATGCTAAAACATACACAGCAAATTACTTCATTTAAATCAACCCCACTAAGAAAGTAATATGGATAAACTTTACAAAGAGCCACAAACTTCCTATGAATACAGACACACAAAATAAGGTAACTCATCCTGGAGAGCATTCCCTGCAAAAGACAGATGTTAGGGATCACTGCACATACTCAAATATATAAATTAATTCAAACCAACTTCCTTCTGAAATGAAAACAAATGTAAAATTGAAAAAGACATGCAAAATTGGATTTAGAGCCTTTCTTCTGTGAAGAACCATGGTGTTCACAAATCATTTTCTCATAGTCTTGTATTCATTCAAATATATCTTCAGTTGAATTTCTCAAGGTAATTAAAACTTGGATTAAACAAAGCAGGATGACTCTTTTCTACAGTGCAGCAAGCCCAGGAAATTCATCAAATCAGTGTTCTATCACAGCTGATTTTTATATAAGCTATGCAAGCAAAATCTCACCTGTCATGGTGTCTTTCCTAGAAGTGTGTTCTCCCTTACTTCCATGGTAAGTAGCGTTAGTTCCAGTTGATTCATAGTCTGTTTTTCTTTCTTTTAGGCTGATCATTTCCCGAGGTGAGGCTGGGGCACTTGCTAGATAACAAAAACGGATTTTTTCTTTTTTTAATCATACGTGACTGATAGTAGGGTTTAACTCTTGAGTAAGCATTCCAGTAAAGTTCGTATCTGTTAGTTTTCTAACATGAAGCTGATTGAAGAAACACTACCACATTATGGAGGAAAAGAGGAGATGCTGTTATTTCAAGGGCAAGGCAAATGCATTCATTGGACAATCAACTGCAAACATAATTTTATTTCTGAATGTTAAATTTCTTTTTACTTGCATCCAACATCTAAGACAATCGCTATTAAAAAAATAAAAGTACAACATTTTCCCCTTTTGCTTTTCAGTTTCTTTAACTTGTCAAAACTTTCTGGTATGAGCACTTCCATTTTTTCCTCAAAATGGTTACTTTATTTCCATTGAAAAGACTGTTAATTTTCAACTGTGTGGAATAAACCCATTTGAAATTATTTTCTTCCCTTTTCTCTTGAAAATAAACCAATTAAATTATTCTAATGGAAAAGGGAAGAAAAGAAAGCCTTTTTTTCCCCTAGAAAATATATATCAAAGAATGCCTAACAATTAAAGGTAACTCAAATAATTTCTCTGTCTTTAAATATTTATATGCGTGAATAACTGCCATTAAAGCAACAACTGCTACTTTAAGCTATTTTTATTAAAACTAAATCCTTCATCACCTATACTCATGGTACAGCTAAAAGGAGGAAAGCACAGGTAACACAAAAGAGAACTGGGTTTTGTACTCGAGTCTCACACACTGGAGAATGTGGAGGCGATCACTGGCACTGATCATGAAGCCTTAGAGCTTGCAATGCTTAGGAAAAGGAGAAAAGCAAAGGAAAAAATAATGGCTTTCATGTAAACTGACTTCAATATATTTAGGTGTTGGTAAATAAAGTGCACCTTCCCTGTTGTGGAGGGCAGGTGGAGCACAGTGTGAGTGGCAGAGTTCCCCAGAGCCTCATAAGGGCACAGTGATACAAACATTACTAAAGTGTGGCTGCTTACCCACACACACTTCCCTGCCTCCACCCAGGTATTTGATATGCAAAAAGAAGCTCAAAACAATGTCTTTATCCAAAAACAAGAAACAGAAAAAAAAAATAAAATGTAATACAAATTCTTTGTGAAGCTTGACCTTGAGGCACATCTTCCAGCATCTCTAAACTATGTTACATTTTTTAGTTGAGCAACAGTGAAGTACTTGCACTCAACTATGGAGTAGGGAAGCGCAAGTGATGTTGAATTCTTCTTTGATTGATTTTGCTGGCCCTGGCCTCTGAATTTACAGAGCAAATGCGGGACAGATGTTCTTTCTTATGAAGCCATTAGAATTGGGGATTGCTTTTAAACTGTTTGCCAATAGTGATGTAAATCTAAAGCTGATAATCCGGCAGATATAAAGAAACATGACGTTAAACTACCAAATCAGCTAATGGCAGCTTGAGTGTAATGGGGAGCAGGCCAGAATGCAAACCTTGAAAAAGCTGCTAGCAGAGAGACACATTTTATTTCACATACTCTGGTAATGGTTATAAACACTCTGGTGTTTTGAACAAAATTGACTGATACAGATAAAATCATCTCTCTTTGTTCCCTGTGGGAATTCCCTCGCTCTTCCCATGAGAGGAAAACTACTTTCTGGGAAGCATTAAAATGCAGAAGCACCCTCTTTCAGAGTTTTTACTGGAAGCGAAGATGAAGACTTTGGTTGATTAGACTGAAAATTGATATAATGTTTTTCTGCTCTAATTCTTAAAGGACACAGAAAATCCTGTTATCACCCAGTCCTAGGGATGGATGGGATGGTGTGAGTTCGTTTACTTCAACTGTTTACCCCAAGGCAGGATCCAGTATACCAACATAATTCTTGACAGATTTTAATCTGGAACTAAAGATCTCTAATGACAGAGATCACTTAACTGCTCCAAGTAGTCTGTTCCAGTGCTTTCTTTCCCACTGCTAGGAAATGTACAGCCTGACTCCTTGCTGCTCATTATTTCCATTTGTCTGCTATGAAAGCAGAAAAAGTTCACACCATTCCTCTTCACAGCTGGCTGTTACATGCTTGAAGACTTGGTGTGTACCTCTTCCCACTGTTTCCATTTCATGTCTCTTCTACTGAAGTTAAACAATTACAGTCCATTCAGTATATTCTCATATCCTTATTTCCCCCTTCCAATTCATGTGTGCAACTGACAAAAATCCCCAGATAATTTCTAAAGAACTTTAGAAATTAGGAAATGTCACATAGTCAGACATTCTCCTTATAACTTATTTTTAAAAGATTGGTTACTTTTTTCATTTTGAACATTACCTCCAATTTCTCAGGATCACTTTGAATTTCAACAATGCCCGCCAAAGAACATGAGTTTCTCCCAGGTTTATGTCACCCACAAAGGCAATAGGTAACTTTTGCATATTATCTGGGTCATTACTAAAACCACTGAAGAGTACTGGATCCAAGCTAGGCTCTAAGCACAGCATTCTGCCATTTTGGCAGTAAACAATACCCTTTCCTTGTGAATGGTTTTAAGTAAGTTTTTTATTTACCATACAGGAAGTTTTCTGAACTGTTGGCTAGCTTTGCCTTAGGCTATTCCATAAAAATGTTGTGTGAAAGAGTCTTACTGATCATAGGATATTGTACTTACTGAATTTTCTTCCTGCAAATTTTTGTAGCAGGTATTCAGATGGATTTAATAAGAGCAATTGGAATTGAATCAATACTTGCATTTGATATGGACACTACCAGACACACAGCAACTTACATTATTATGTAGAAATAGATACTCCTAGAGTTAAGTAATACCTTATGTTCCTACTACCTTCGAGTTGTTCAGGTTCTGATTATTTGTTCCAGCAATTTTCTAGACTGACATTGAGCTGACTGGTATGTAATGACATGGGCTCTTCTTCCACCAAAACCAGCCACTATTATTTGTGTTTTCCAGTCTTATGATAACTGAGAACAGCAGGAAAATTTCATCCAGAATGTAGAATAACAGAAGTAAGAAAATGGTTCTGGCAAGAGACAGAACTAAGATCTCAGGGCCAGACATTTCAAGTACCTTGCACTTACAGTCAAGATGACATTTTAGAGAAGAAAAAAAGGAACAAGAGCCCTTTATGGACTTGTGTAATGGCAGATTTTAAAAACAGAATAGCAGCTCTCACTGTACTTCTGGCTACATTTTCACATCTCCTCAATTGTTCTGCAGGACTAAGATGCAGCTTCTAGATAATTAACAAAACAATTTTCTTAAAAAACAAACTATGGCATAATGGTAATAATAAGTTTGGCCATTTTAATCCTAAACTCTTGGTGTGCCTATGGAATGACAAGATTTCATTGAAAAGCAGCAGAAAGACCACTGAAAGATTCTCAGTGGACCCTGTTTATCTTGAAATATTTTCACTGGGAATAGTTTTATCTAATGGAGGTACGATTTACCTTAAAATAAAGTGAGGGAAAGATAACCCAATTTCTAGATAGAAAAATTAATTTGCACTATGGCATTAGTTGAGATACTTGCATTAGTTAATTGTGCAGATCATATAGAATTGATAATAGCTGGTGTAAATATGCTGTCAATGTTAGGAAGATGTGTAGACAAATCTGTGAAACTTACATTTGCATACGTATATACACATACCGAGAATAAAAGATCACAAAAAATGTCATGTGGGTCTTTAAACTTCTGCTAAGTGTGCAAAATGGTAATAAACCGCATAGTAGCTTTCAGGACTAGCAAAGTGAGCAACAGAATTTCCTGGTGCTAACAATGGATGCCATTGCCCTAAGATCTAGTCAGATAATTCCCATTAAGAAAATATTTTGGGAGAATTTATGACAAAACGTTACGGAATAATCTTTCTTCTGTAAAACTTTACCAGGTGCTAATGAAAAAAAAATTAAATCCTGCTTTGAACAAGTAATTTGGTGACAGTAAAGAATACACTTTGTGCCCTTCCACCAGAGTGAACAACAAATCCAGATGTCAGGGAAAATGACGGCGATGGGTTTTTTACCTCTGGCCTTACCTGAGCGGTTGTTGGGAGACATGCGCACGGGAGAGATGGAGGGCGTGCGGGATGAGGAGTACGGTCTTTGCCGATCCCTTTCTATTGTTGAAGATGAGGCTACAAAGTGATACTGTGACCATCCATCCTGCAACACCAAGAATCGTGACAACGGTCAGTGAAAATGCCACCTGGCTCTCCGCTTTAAGCAGAGTATTTTTCTCTGGTGTTTTCACTACGGATACACCAGTAGGCTGCTGTCTTCTTCCTGCCGCTGGGTGGTAAATATAGTTAGTGGTATAGGACAGGATGTGCTGACTGTACTGACACAGCAAGATTAAAAATAAATGTAGAAAGTTCTATAAAATAGCACATCTCAGAAAGACTCATATTATTAATACTGTTGTAGGCTATTTGTTTAATAGCTCTGCCTTTTTTTCCACACCTCAATTTCCACATTGCAAACAGCATTCTGGCTTGAAATATTTTCTAATTTATATGGAGTTTTGGAGTAAGTAGATTGGGAAATTCCAGGATTACCAGATTGCACATCAATTCAGCTTATTTATACTAACTGCCCTTTTGCTCACACACGAGAGAAAAAGAATCAATGCATTTTGTTCCAGTTTTCTTCAAGGCATACAGAATGAAATTCTATTTCTTCTATTTAAAACTATGTTCATGGTGACATATTAAAAAACTGCAACAAAGTAATACAAATACTAGAAACAGCTAGTTCAAAAATAAAAAGGGAAAGTTTAAATAATTCATGTTTTATTTCTGCACCATAACGTAATGCAAGAAACCAAAATAATGTACTTCACATTTTTAAAAACGTATTACATATAGTCTGAAACTATCATGAGAGCATAAACTGACTTCTGGTAGTGTTCTTATTAAATTATCGTATTTCAACTGCCTGCAGTATTGATAGATTGCAACTGTCTTTATTAGTTCTTAATGTTCAATCTAAATCAGTAATATTGAGATTTCCAGTCTCATACAGTTTTAAAAATGCCCACTTTCTGTTTGGCTCAGTGGAAATCGAGTCAAGCACCAGGCATGGTGCTAAACAAAAGTTTTGCAACGAAATGCTGAAAAAAATAAAATACAACATTACCAAAAACCAGCTGGAATTTTACTCTTGCTCACAGAATAATAATTCATGGTTGGGGTAGTAAAGACTATTCTCACACCCTAACTAAGCCATTCCACACATCCAGCAATGAATCCCACACCTTGCCATGCTCTGCCTTTGCTCAAGGTTATCTGTCTGACTTCGTTCCATCCACAGAAACCATGGGCACCGGCTCTAAGATGAGAAGATGAATTGAAAATCCCATTTCCATGAGACTCTTAGAAAAGAGAACTGAGCAAGACTGTGACACAGCAGGAGGAAAGAAGATACTCACCCTTCTTGTAGAGGAAAATTTTATACACAAATTGGGACAGCTACAGGCGACACCTAACTATGGGTGCTGAATGACTGTACTCCTCATGTAATGGATTTGTACAAACAGGGGTGTACCTCAGCTGCAATTTCAAAGACAAAAATGAGGAGGAGTGAAATCTGGGCTATGGCATTTAGAGTGCAGCCAGGACTTTCCCTGGAGTCAGCAGTGACTGAGTGTTTGTCCTCTATCACTCATGTTTAGGACAATTCACTGAACTGCACCTCATATTTAATCAAAGAAATATAAGAAAATATAAGGGAGAAATCTTTTTAATTAATAAAACATAGTAAGAGTAACTTGAAAAAGAAATACTTGGTCTTCAATACCACTTCCTTAAACCAAAATTTTCTATATATAAATCTATATCCCATTTCCAAAAAGAAGTTTCTACACAAACCACATCCTCCAAGCTAGAGGGAGAGTTCATGATAATGGAAGAAAAAAATCTGTGAAGCCCTAACTTCTTAAATCAAATTGGAAATTAATATACATGATATGTGTATATATAAAAAATACATGTATTTTAAAGAAGACATAATAGTTTATAGTTAGGGTTAGAAAGAACAGCTTAAGTTCAATAATCTTATCCAAGACTACAAGTAACACATACAGCCTTAATTTTTGTCTCTGATTGACAATAACTTGTGCATTCATTTCTCTATTATAAAACTGAAGGAGAAAACATGTGAGAAGCCCATGCCTTTATCCTGATGAAGAAAAATGGTTCTTTCTCCTCTGTGGTAAGAATTTCTTACAAGAAAGGTGATTATATCTCATGCTGTTGTAGTTTTCTACAACAGAATTTATTTTTGTTAAAAATAAACTTTATTTTAAACAGATGGAAGAAGGGGAAGCTATGAAGAGGACAGACTTTAGATGTGACAAAAAGAAAAGGGATGCACTGTTTGTTGCTCTCTGCCTGCAAAAGAAGAGACATCAACCATGCTTAACACAGAGCCAGGCAGAAATGTTTCCAGTTTTGTGGATCTGGATACATTCACTGCCAAGTATACTCTCCTTTTACACTCTTGTTTCCCTCAAGTAAAACTCGGGTGTATCATTCAGAAAAAGTGAAAAGAGGCTTCTCCTTTCTTCCTGTTGCCTATTCCATTGAAATGGTATACATTAATACCTGCAGCCTGGTTCTGACGGGAAGCGAATGAAATAAATCCCTGACACCTGCCCGGTCCCATGGACTCTGCAGGAATAGACATGGCACCATTTTTGCTGTGCAGGATATCAACAGGTACCTTGTCAACGTTGCTCCCTGAGACACAGCACTGTGAGGTGCCTGAGCAGCAAGGAGAGCTGCTGTGGATGCTGGCACTAGCAGTCTTTTCTGCAGCAGAGGTTTTCCCTTCTTCTCTTCCCTGCAAATTTTCACTTTTCTCTCTGGTGACAATAGTGCTTATAATGAGGTCTTTAAATAAATTCTGCTACAAACTCTCAAGCTGGCAAGCCAAATCAGCTCAATAAGACAAGTGAGGCAAACAATAAACTCTAAGGCTAGTTTTGTACTGGCTTGGCATTGCCTTTGACTAAACAAGGCATACTCCTATCACTGTATGTATTCCATAGACTGCGGGCAGCTCCCAGACCTCACAGTATTTCAAAACCCTAATACTTTCAAGTTATTTATCTTTAGCTCTCTTCTGGTGCAAGCAACAAGCTTCTTTCCTTGAAAAGGTAAACAGTTTGTAACAAATTTATTAAAACTCTATCCATTAACAATTCCAAAAGCTATTAGTATTAAATATTGAAACTAATTTTTAAGAGCCTAAAGGGGGTATTTTCAATTTAATGGCTAGATAAATACCACCTGACATGATGGCTGCTTTCATTAGTTTGTTTCAGGTCTACTGCCTGTAATGAAATTTAATTAAATTGACTTGGGTACTTAAAGGTACAGTATACAGAAGTGTCCTGCAGAGAAGAAAGTTAACTCAAGACCAAAGTATGTGAGGCTGAATTTAAGAAGCCAATTTACTAGTCACAAATGTGATCTAGGAGAGGAAGAGTAAGACAAAAGGATTTGACAAACTGGAAAGCAATTCAATGCAATTCTGTTACAGAATGGATGTATTTTTTAAACATAATGTTAAATGTATTTTGTTAAATTAATTAAAAAGTAGCAACTGCACACTACAGGATGAGAGAGAACAACCGGAGTACAGAAATACCATTATACACCCTTCCAACACATCTTCCACTGGGCATTTGTCTATATTTTTACTATACTGAATATACTCATTATACTATTATATCAATTATACTTTATAAAGTCCAAATGCTAAAGCTTGATTGGCAGTGATGTGTTTCTGACAATATCCTCTTGAAAAAGCTGCAGGATTAAAATTGGGATGGGAGTTGGATGTTCACTGTAGAAAATGAAAGTGATATTGTAGTCTCTCTGAACACTTTGCTGGCCTTAAGGGGTGAACAGGTTCTTTATCTCCCTGCTCAACTTTTAGTCATTTTGAAAAGAAATAATTTTCATCAGGCCCATGTGAAAATAATTATTTTGTCAGGGTGACTAATCTTATTGCGCCAAACACCTACTGCATGTGCCTCATGAAAATATAATTTGTTTCTTCTTTCTTTTCTTGCTATTCTCTTTGTGTTTAAAGTGCAAGGGAGAAATGGGAATCAGATTTCTATTGTGTTTGCAAGAATTTCAAATTTTCTGAAGTCACTGGTAGTGGAGTCTTTGATTTGAGGAGAAGATTTGTGGAGGTGGATGATATCAGACACGCTATTTTCTCTCTTGTAGTACAGTAACATTGTGAAGACTGAATTAAATTAAGTCCTGATGGGAACTGACAACATGTTGACCCAACAGTTCCCAACAGGAACAAGGAATGTCCAGGAGTCAGGAAGGGTATGGTGCCTAACCTGGATACCTTACAGAATCCACTCAGAAAGAAATCCCACAACAGTCCATGTGCTAATAGCCATGCAGCAAAAGTGAAAACAAGCCCTATCCTCTGACTGATCAACTTCTATAAGAAGACACTGACTTGAAAAGCACTGAATGCTCTAGAAAAACAGTACGATGTATGATGGCTGTGTGATGGCTCAGTATCTTTCAGTGTTGAAGAGCACAGCCTGCTCTGACTCCTGGCCATGGGTGTGTGAACATTGTCAGGAACAGAGAAGAGCAATTTCTGTAAATGGGAAATTCCTACTAGAGGGAAAAAATTAAAATAATACAAAAAAATCCAATAAAAAACAGCTAAAGCCTGAAAAACTATAGATAATGTTGTGTCCTGCCTTCCTGAAATTTACAACCTTGCCAGCACGCTACTTCTTGCTTCAGGTCTGATCCTCTTGTAACCCAATTTAATAAGATGATTTACAGACAACTTGAAGCACACAGGCCCAGACTTGCCTCGTCATCCTACTTCCTTATCCATAAGCCAGCTTTTTACTGGTTCCAGGATATTAACTGAAGTAATAACTGTTCTCATAATGGCTAGAAGTTGTAGAAATGCAAAGTTTTGATAGATAACCTCTTGCAGGGATCAGTAACTAGACCCACTGTGGCACCAGAAGTAGGTGACACAGGAACAAGGCAAAGTGCCTTTAAGTATGTAAGGTAGGATCTACTCGCTTTGAAACTCAGCTAGACACTGCTCTGAGTGTTGCTTCCTCCACAAGGCAAAGCAAGCGCTGTCAGGTTAAATGAAACATCCCC